CAAGCTGAGGAGCAGAGTCTTCTGGCTGTGTGAATTGGGGAGAACTTTTAGAACTTTAAAGATCTAATTACCCTGTATAAATTTACAACCAGAATGTTTTGGTCCCACCTCCCTTAGTACCTCTGGAGCATATCTCCTCACTTACTGTTAGTATCCCCAACTCTGAAGGCATTTACACTTTGGCTTCCTCTATTCTGCTAAGTCAGTTACCCCTCTTCCGCCTACTTTTCATTTCCCAAGGACTGTTGGCACTTTTGCTATTTCCTCTCCCACCTTCTAGTCCTTGGGGTTCATATCTCTTTTGAGTCCTTTGCTGTCAACTCAGGGAGGATGCAAACCTAAATCTGGGTGTTAAATCCCCTGGTCCAGAATTAGGGAATACATGAGAAAACTCTCTACTTTGTCAGACTCTAAATGTATCGATTGATTCATTTGATAAGACTGTAAAAGATTCAGAATTCCAAGGATCCAAACATTAGCCAGAAGAATTGTCAACAAAGTCCTTTCTATTTATTTCACTAGAAATCACTTTATTGATTCAATCATCAGGAATTTTCAGCACTAAATTTAACATCTTAATGACCACTGAGGCCTGGGCTCTAGGGCTTGCTCTGCCTCTCCCAGTCCCTAAAGGGGTTTGGAGGGAGAGACATCATTAACAGAGACCAAGTCAGATGGTTCACATCCTCCTTTCCCAGTCATTGGACAAGCTGCTCAATTCTTGTCCAGAGCAGGAAAGAGAGAGTATTTCAAAAAAATCTAATAAACAACCTGACATTGCATTATAAGATCTTTCTTAACAATTTATATTTATCAACAGTATTGGTTCAACTATATATATATCTGCAATCCCATCAAACTGGAACAGCCTCATTTAGCTCTTGGAAGGAGGAAACAGGTTTTTCTGCTCCTTTACTAAGCCCAAACTAAACAACCGTCCCCTGAAGTCCAAAATGCTACTTCTGGCCTTGGGATGTGCAGCTTATGATGGGCTGATTCAAATCACCTGGAAGGGGCAACTGAAACTACTAGCAGGCAGCCTTCTTTGGAAACATGTTCTTAAAATCAGCTCTTCAGAATCATCCCTGATTGTGTACAAAGGCTCCACGGTCCAAAGTACTTCTGCTATCCCATCTCAGGAGCTAGGTTCAGAAGACGCATTGGAGTGGTCAGGAGCAAGCGCTGCAGCAGTGGCCCCACGAGGTAGGACCTCAATAACTCGAGGCTTGTCAATGATCCGCGCCGTCCGGTTCCCCTTCTCCACAATGCCCACGATCCATGCTTGGTGACCCTCTCCATACTTGGAAGATTTGATTTCAGAACAAAAGCGAGCAGCCTGTTCCCTCGGCAAGCAAATCAGTAAGCCCCCGGAAGTTTCTGCCGAGGTTCCTTGGAGGAGCCCAAAGCGCCCACTGGCCTTGCTGATGGCAGCCATCTTGGCAATGATTGGCAGATTATGGATGACAAAGGACACCTCATTTCTCTGTTGTTTCGCAAGGTTCTGAGAGTGTCCCAGGATGCCAAAGCCTGTGATATCTGTGGCTGCATGGGCATTAAACGTGTGCATGAGCCCCGCGGCAGTTCTGTTGAGGGTTGCCATGTTGAACATGGCTTCCTGATAGGCCAGCTCCACCTCTTCTCGGGAGACCACCATCTTTATCTTACTCCATCTCTCGGGGTTCTCCAGCCACTGGTGGGCATTGACAGCGACTTGGGTGCCTAAGGGTTTGGTTAACACGAGCACATCCCCGACAACTGCGCTGTCCGGCATTATGAATTCATTGGGCTGACATACCACCGTGGCAACCCCGCCCACGATGATCCAGGGGTTTACCACAGTCTGCCCGCCAGTCACCGCAGTCCCGCCTTCCTCAGCAGCGTCCCGAAAGCCTTTGACCAGGAGCGGGGTGATCTTTTCTCGTTCCTCCTCACTCATAGCCTGGCTGACGCTGAGTAACATTAACATGTTGTCACATTCGGTGATGCCCATGGCATACAGGTCACTCAGCACGTTGGCACACGCGATGCGCCCCATCATGTAGGGATCCTCCACCAGGGGGTAAAAGAAGTCCGTGGTCTGCACCAGGGACAGGCCTCCGTGCCTCAGGGGTATGACGCAGGAGTCCATGCCGATGCCCAGGGCGGGGAAAGGTGGGCTGGATTCCGCCAGGGCCGCCAGGCCGGCTTCCCGGGCCGCCTCCTCAGGGCCTCCCACCAGGGCCCGGCCCAGCTGGGGCCGCTCGTCCGGCCGCGTCAGTCCCGCCAGGAGTTTGAGCAGCGTCTCCTGGGGGACCTTGCAGCCTCAGCCCTTCATGCCGGAGAAGCCCGTCAGCCGCCAGCTCGGGCTCAGGCCCAGCGCCTGGGGCTCGAAGGGCCGGTAGCTCGAGAAGCCGTGACCCAGAGACAAGCCCGCCAGACCCGCGGAACCTGCCGCCGCCGCCGCCGCCATCGCTTCCCCGCTGGCACCCGTCGCTGCGGTGTCTGCCATCACGCCGGCCCGGCCCGGAGGGAACGACGGGAGGGGCCCCTCTTCTTATCTACTCCAGTTACTACCGAGTATCGACAGTCAGATCCGACCCCGGGGACGGCGACCCGCGCGGCTCGCGCAGGGGACTCCAGGCACGCCGCGCGCTCCCGGCCTTCCTGACCGAGGAGCCCGCGCCTCCGGTATTTATTGCCCTGGTGATTGACAGCCCGCTCAGCCAATAATCGCTTCGCCACCGAGAGGCGGGCTTCCTTTGGCCTGGAGACCTGCGCATCACAAACCCGCCGCCAACGGCGAAATTGGCCCCGGCTGTGCCGGGGCTGAGCGCGGCGGTCCGCTCCCCTGGCGGTGACTGAAAGGATCTCCCGCGAGGGGCTGGCGGAACCCTGCCCCCCCCCAGGGGCAGTTTTCCAAGGACAGCGTTTTGAAAGAGAAGGAGGATCGATAGCTTGGCAAACCTTCAGCCGGCCAGGGGTCCAAGGGTCGCTTNGGTCCGCTCCCCTGGCGGTGACTGAAAGCGTCTCCCGCGAGGGGCTGGTGAGCTCTGCACCCCCGAGGCAGCTTTCCAAGGACAGCGTTTTGAAAGACACGGAAGATCGATAGCTTGGCAAACCTTCAGCCGGCCAGGGGTCCAAGGGTCGCTTGACAGCGCACAGGATCAGTCCAGGGCAGGAAAAAGTAGCCAGTGGAGAAAATCGGAAAGAATAACAAGAAATTACATAAGCAAACTGCCGCATCAAAACAATGAAATGTTAAAAAGGGCTTTAAAGCATTTTAGGACTCCCGACACCTGCGTGGGTTCCGGTGCCGTTTCCACCACTAGCTGCCTGCGGAGTCACCTTCCTCCCGCAGCAGCTGACTCCTGCGGACAACAAAGCAGCTCACCCAGGCCTCTCCTCCTCTGAAGTGTCTGAATCTCTTTACGTTAATAAATGCGAGAATCTACGATGTATCCATGAAGGGTAGTTTGCCAATATCTATTAAAGTATAACTGCACATAACACCTTTGATCCAGCAGTTCCAGTTCTAGGACTTTATCCTGCAGTGTAGTGACCAGCGTGAGCGGAAAATGATACGTTATTGCTGCGCTGCTGTAATATCAGCATACTGGAAACACCTTAAGTGTTTACCCGTTATGATTAAAATCAATTGTGGTGCATTAATATAATAAGCTACCAAGCAAGTGGAAAAAGGGATGAGGAAGCATTGAGGTAATTATATTGCTAATAGTTAGGGTTCTAACAGGCACAGTTCTAAATGCTTCACCATACTTACTAATGTAATTCTCATGGCACTTTCGAGTTAGGAGTCTTTCCACAGCTCACAAATAAGGAATATAAGGCACGGAGCGANTACCATACTTACAAATTTCTCATGATACTTTTGAATTAGGAGTCTTTCCACAGCTCACAAATAAGGAATATAAGGCACGGAGCGATTAAATGACCTATTCAAGGTTAGGGGCAGTTTACTGTGGAGCAGTAAATGTGCCCAATCNATTAAATGACCTATTCAAGGTTACGGGCAGTTTACTGTGGAGCAGTAAATGTGCCCAATCTGCTCCAGAGTCCCCCGGTTACACCGCCTGTGCTGCTTGTTTAGAGAAACGAGCAAGCTTCAGAACAGTGCTATGGAAGCTGCTGTAAGGGGGAGCTCGATGCAATAGCCTCTTTCTGGAAGGGTCATCGCCAGAAACCGGTCATACTGATTGCCTCTGGGAAGGGGATGTGGTGCTTAGGGGATGGGAGACTTTTCATTGTGTTGCCTTTTTGTTCCTTTGACATTTGGAAGTTTAAAAAGAGCATTTTTAAAACATTTGAATGTATTACATACTTCCAAAAAAAAAAAAAAAAAAAAAAAAAA